ATTTTCCTCTGATCAGCGTGTCATTGGACACCGCTGATCACGTGGTAAAAGGCCGCTGTGATTTGCCTTTTACCACATCACGTGATCAGCTGTGTCCGTAGGACACAGCGATCACGGAGATCGCCGGGTGCGTGCCCCCTGGGGCGCACAGGAGAGCGAGTTCTGGGAGGATGTCATATGACGTCCTCCCAGAACTGGCCGGCTGCAGTGCAGCCGTCATTCGGCTATCTGCGGTCGGCAGCTAGTTAACCAGCAGTTTGGTGTCTGTTTATGACAGAGAATAGCTGCAATTCAGAGGATCTCAGCTATTCTCTGGTCATTCACAGGTTATAACACTCAGGAGATCATGTTCAGCCCTTCACTGGAGATCTGTGTTCTCCCTCCCATTCTCCAGCCCAGAGCTGCCCAGAGCTGGAGAATTGGAGGGAACGCAAACTAAGCAGCGATAATTTACCTCTGTTTAGTAAACTGATCTCTTACTGTCATCTCGCGAGATTATAGTAAAATCAGCCGTTTTCCAGCGTTTGGAGACCGTTCTCCCTTTGTTCAGAGAACTGCTTCATAAAAGGCATTCACAGGAGAACTGAGCAGCGATCTATTACTGCTGGTTCATAAACGGACACCTAAATTCTCTTTTTATTGCAGCTGAGCATGACAATACCTTTCTGTGAATTTGTAGCTGTCCATTATGTGAAAGTATACAATAAGCATGTTACAATTGTGCGATCTCCAGAGGATTTACCGCCTTTCCTGACCAGGCCATTTTTTGCAATATGTCGCTGCGTTCCTTTAACTGACAATTGCGCGGTTATCCAACGCTGCACCCAAATGAAATTTACGTCCTTTTTTTCCCCAAAAAATGTGCTTTCTTTCGGTGGTATTTGATAGCCTCTGCGATTTTATTCTTTGCTCTGTAAACAAAAAGAAAAAAATAAGACTGACAATTTAAAAAAAAAATAATAATTTTTGACTTTTTGCTATAAAACATATCCAGTTAAAAAAATTTTAAAAATCCAATTTCGTCATAAATTTAGGCCAAAATGTATTCTGTCAATTAATTGGTTTACGTGACAGTTATAGTGTTTACAAATGGCGGTATATATATATATATATATATATATATATATATATACACATATATATCTCAGCAACTTATAGCAGGACAGCAGAGGGCATTCTGACACTGGGGGGAGGGGGGCTGACAAACTGCCACTGACATCCCCAGTGACACTAATACAGTGATCAGTGCTAATAAAAAGCACTGACACTGTACTAATGACACTGGGCAGGAAGGAATTAACATCTGGGGTGATCAAAGGGTTAACTGTGTGCTGTGTGTTTTACACCATGTGCTGTGTGTGTTTTACTATGGGGACATGCTGCTGTGTATCTCTCTGCTGTGCAGAGAAATGCACAACAGCATGTTATTGCTGGCAGGAGAGATACCTGTGTTGTTTACACGCAGGTCTCTCCCCTGTTAGTGTTCCTCGGCAATCACCAGCGGGGAATCTCCGGCCAGGACCCAGTAACTGACATCTCCAGCTGCCAATGGTACCCCCTACCCAGAAATACAAAATCACACATATATATATATATATATACACACATGATTTTGTGCAGCCCTGCCGCCCTGTAGCAGTAGTTCTGTTATAGGTCAGCAGGGAAGCAGTTAAGCTGCTCATACATTATACAATCTTTTTGTACAATCTTAGTACAATCTTCTTTAGATTTACCAAAATTATGTAATATGAAGGCAAACCTAAACTATTCATTCAATTTCCATGCAATCAGTCAGGCCTGTGTTCTAAATATTTAAAGTGATTCTAAAGGCTTATTTTTTTTTTACAAATAATAACAAACATGCTATACTTACCTGCTGTGTGCAGTGGTTTGGCACAGAGCAGCCTGGATCCTCCTCTTCTTGGGTCCCCCTGTGGTGCTCCTGACCCCTCCCTCCTGTCGGGTGCCTCCACAGCAAGTAGCTTGCTATGGGGGCACCTGCTGCTCCATTTGCCCATTCACACACGGAGCCACAGCTTTACTCCACCCCCTTTCTCTTGATTGACAGCAGTGGGAGCCAATGGCTCCTGCTTCTGTCTCAGCCAATGAGAAAAGAAAGTCCCGGAAAAGCTGAGACCCCAGTGCACATCGCTAGATCGAGAGGAGGCTTAGGTGAGTATTGGGGGGTTGGGGGGGATGCTGCACACAGAAGGTTTTTTTTTTTAACTTCATGCATAGAATGCATGAAGGTAAAAAACCTTGAGTCTTTACAACCACTTTAATGGTAGATCTAATGGAGATTGTACAATCAGATTATATAGTGTATGTTAACAATACATTAAGCTCACCATGCACGTCTGATTGTAGAATTCACTTTAGATCTACCAACAAGTATGTAGTGCAACTGCCTGCATGATTGGATAGTTTAGGTAGGTCCTCATACTACATAGTTTTGGTAAATCTAAAACGAATTGCACAGAGATTGTACAGTCAGATTGTATCATGTATGGTGACCCTTATGGCCAGTACACACAATAGGAAAATTGTATGGAACTTTCTGTATGAGGATCGATCGGCCAATTATCTGATTATTAGTATAGTGCAGGGGACTCCAACATTTTTAAAGAAGGGCCAGTTTACTGTCCTTAAGACTTTGAGGGGCCTGGACTGTGGCCAGTGAGAGTAGAAAATGCCCCGGTGTGAGTGGGAGTAAGCAATGCCCAATCACTGGCATTAGTGGGAGGAATAGTGCCCTATTGTTGGTATCAGAAGGATTGTGCCCCACCATTGGTGTCAGTGTGAAGAATAGTGCCCTGCCACTGGTGTCAGTAGGAGAAATATTGCCCCATTGTTGGTATCAGGGAAGGAATAGGGTACTTGTCTGTTAATTCACCAGATTTATATATATATATATATATATATTTTTTATATATATATTTTAAATAAAACATAAAAAAAAAATAATATATATATATATATATATATATATATATATATAAATAAATCCGGTAAATTAATAGACAAGTACCAGGAATAGTGCCTCATCATTGGTGTCAGTAGGAGGAATATTGCCCCATCATTAGTGTCCGTGGAAGGATTAGTGCCCCATCATTAGTGTCAGTGGGAAGAATAGTGCCCCATCATTGGTCAGTAGGAGGTATATTGCCCCATTGTTGATTTTAAGGGAAGGAATAGTGTTCCATCATTGGTGTCAGTTGGTGGAATAGAGCCTCATCATTAATGTCAGTGGGAGGAATAGCGCCTCATTATTGGTGTCAGTGGGAGAAATAGTGCCCCATTATTGGTGTCAGTTGGTGTAATGGTGCCCCAACATTGATGTCAGAGGTAAGAATAGTGCCCCGTTATTGGTGTCGGTTGGTGGAATAGTGCCCCATCATTAGTGTCAGTGGGAGGAATAGTGCCCCATTGTTGGTGTCAGTTGGTGGAATAGTGCCCCATCAGTAGGTGTCAGTGGGTGGAATAGTGCTCCATCAATAGGTATCACTGGGAGGAATAGTGCGCCATTATTGGTGTCAGTTGTGGAATAGTCCCCATCATTGGTATTAGTGGGAGGAATAGTGCCTCATCAGTAGTGTCACTGGGAGGAATAGTGCCCCATTATTGGTGTCAGTGAGAGGAATAGTGCCCTATTGTTGGTGTCAGTGGGAGGAATAGTGCCCCATTATTGGTGCCAGTTGGTGGAATAGTGCCCCATCAGTAGGTGTCAGTGGGAGGAATAGTGCCCCAACAGTAGTGTCAGTGGGAGGAATAGAGCCCCATCAGTAGTGTCAGCGGGAGGAATAGTGCCCCATCAGTAGGTGTCAGCGGGAGGAATAGTGCCCCATCAGTAGTGTCAGCGGGAGGAATAGTGCCCCATCAGTAGTGTCAGCGGGAGGAATAGTGCCCCATCAGTAGGTGTCAGCGGGAGGAATAGTGCCCCATCAGTAGGTGTCAGCGGGAGGAATAGTGCCTCATCAGTAGTGTCAGCGGGAGGAATAGTGCCCCATCAGTAGGTGTCAGCGGGAGGAATAGTGCCTCATCAGTAGGTGTCAGTGGGAGGAATAGTGCCTCATCAGTAGTGTCAGCAGGAGGAATAGTGCCCCATCAGTAGGTGTCAGCGGGAGGAATAGTGCCTCATCAGTAGGTGTCAGCGGGAGGAATAGTGCCCCATCAGTAGGTGTCAGTGGGAGGAATAGTGCCTCATCAGTAGTGTCAGTGGGAGGAATAGTGCCCCATCAGTAGGTGTCAGTGGGAGGAATAGTGCCCCATCAGTAGGTGTCAGTGGGAGGAATAGTGCCCCATCAGTAGGTGTCAGTGGGAGGAATAGTGCCTCATCAGTAGTGTCAGTGGGAGGAATAGTGCCCCATCAGTAGGTGTCAGTGGGAGGAATAGTGCCTCATCAGTAGTGTCAGTGGGAGGAATAGTGCCCCATCAGTAGGTGTCAGTGGGAGGAATAGTGCCCCATCAGTAGGTGTCAGTGGGAGGAATAGTGTCTCATCAGTAGTGTCAGTGGGAGGAATAGTGTCTCATCAGTAATGTCAGTAGGAGGAATAGTGCCCCATCAGTAGGTGTCAGTGGGAGGAATAGTGCCCCATCAGTAGGTGTCAGTGGGAGGAATAGTGTCTCATCAGTAGTGTCAATGGGAGGAATAGTGCCCCATTTTTGGTGTCAATGGGAAGAATAGTGCCCCATTGTTGGGGTCATTGGTAGGAATAGTGTCTTATTGTTGGTATCAGTGACGGGAATTATGCCCCGTTGTTGATGTCAGTGGGAGTAATAGTACCCCAAGGGCTGGACAAAAGCAAGCAAAGGGCCATATCCTGCCCCCCAGGCCGCAGTTTGAGGACCACTGGTATAGTGCTTTCGACAGCTGATTCCGACTTTTTGGACGATGAAAACCAAGGGTTTTATCGAACGTGAACACCACTTCCGATTTTTGTTTAATGTGTACAGTAGTCATACAGAAATAATCGAATAGAAATGATCAGAAGTAAAGAACA